CCCCCGGGATGCCTGCTACACCCAGGAGGGCCGCGCGGAGGACGGGGCCCAGGTGGCCTACATAGAGTACGATGTCAACTCTGACTGTGCCCAGCTGCCGGTGGTGAGTCCTGGCCTGCCCCGCTCTCCCCGCCACTGCTCTCCCGGCCAGGCGGCGCGGCCAAGCAGCTCCTGGGGGTTCAAGGGAAGTGGGTGGTACCGTGAAGCGGGTCAGCTCCACAGGTGTTTCTGCTTCCTCTGTCCCGGGTGGGGAGGACACCCTCCCACAAGCGAGGTCCTCAGGGTGGCAGAGGGTGCGTTGGCGTGGGTTGGGCTGGGGCATGGACAGAGGGTGTTGGGGTTCTGGGGAAGGAGCAGGGAGCCGAGATGGCGGGATGGGACCTGCTTTAGGTTCTCGAGCGAGAGAGGAAGGTGAGGCTGGGACTCCCTGGACTGTAGCCACAGGATGGTGCAAAGGCAGAGAGGAGACGCCCGGGGATGCCAGTTGGCCAGGGCTGGGCGGGCCCCGGCTGCGTCGGCCAGGGCAGAGAGGCTGTTGGCTGTGAGGCCGCGGAGAGTGGGCGTGTAAACGGCAGGAAGCGGGTCCTCGGCCAGAGACGAGAGATGGTGGGGCCTCAGACAGGTGGGGGTCACGGGGGGAAGGAGCCACCGGCAATGGCAAGGCAGCTGGAATGGTGGCTGCTGAGGTGGGGCTAAGCTGCTGTCCAGGGCGGGTTGTCAGGGCCGGCACAGGGGCTGGGGCAGCTGCAAGGTTGCCCAGGCTGGGTGGAGGGGGAGGACAGTGTCCAGGGAGGACCTCACTGTGCTTCCACGGACCGCAGGACACCCTGGATGCCTATCCATGTGGCTCAGACCACACACCCAGCCCCATGGCCAGCCGTGTTCCTCTGGAAGCCACACCAGTCCTGGAGTGGCCAGGGGTTCAGCTGACGGCAGTGGCGGTCACCACGGAGGATGGACACACCATTGCTTTCCTGGGTGACAGTCAAGGGCAGCTGCACAGGGTGAGCCCACAGGAAGTGCTGGGCCTTGCCCAGGGTCTGGAGGGGACAGGCTGCTGGGGACCTAGCCCCGGGACTGGGGAGATGGCCCGTGTGCCCCTTCCCAGGGCTGTCTGGTATTGACCTATGACCCCTGCTGCCCTGGCTGGTTGATATGCCTGCCCAGGTGGAAATGCTGTCTGTGGATTGCTTTTATTGGGTGATGGTGGGGAGATGGGGCCTTTGGTCATGGACCGGGGTCCCAGGCCTTGCGGTCTCTGATCTCAGGTCTACTTGGGCCCCGGGAGCGATGGCCGCCCGTACTCCACACAGACTATCCAGCAGGGAGCTGCCGTGAGCAGAGACCTGACCTTCGATGCGACCTTCGCGCACCTGTATGTGATGACCCAGAGCACGGTGCGTGGCAGCAACGTGGCAGTCCAGGCTGCGCTATAGGCCGGGCAGGTGTGGCTGAGCCCCTGGTGTTTGGACGGCTGGTCTCAGGGCCCTGTGTTTACAGCTCCGGAAGGTCCCGGTGGCCTCCTGCGCCCAGCACCTGGACTGTGCATCCTGCCTTGCTCACAGGGACCCCTACTGCGGGTGGTGTGTGCTCCTCGGCAGGTGTGTGCTCTGGCCTGGCCCTGCCTGGTCCAACCCTGGGCCCTTACCTCTGTAGAGCTGTCCTGTCCTGGAGTCTCAGCCTGCGATCCCTGGGGACCGCACCCTGCCTCCCTCTGCCCTCCACAGCAGCCTCCTGCAGAGCTAGGTGTCAGCCTCCTTGAGGGTCCTGCCCAGGGTGTCTGCCCTGAGGCCTCCTGCTGGCCCTCCGAGGGCCGGGGCTGGACGCTGGTCCCTCTCGTGCAGGGGCGGCCGCCGTTCCGAGTGCTCGCGGGGCACGAGCCCTGAGGGCGGGGTCTGGGGCTT